TTGTTTTTCTAAACTTTCCAAGTTTCTAAGCCATATCAATTTTGATATGACATTTGAATAACTTAATTTTATGTTACATAAACTAACATACATTCACTAACTGATTTTGTGTGAATGTGCTAACAGCAGTTCAGCCAATTTTAGTTTGTTAGTCATCTCATCATTGTAACTTATCTTGCCAACTGGATTTTGTGATTTGTAGAATTTATCACTAAAAAGTCGAGAAAACTACAAAGTGCTATTGATATCAGTTAAGAGTTAAAGAAATTTTCATTGGGAGGAGCAAGTATTTACTGTGTATGCAATAAAGAAATTGGAGTATCATCTCCATTTCTCTTTAAAAGCCATCAGCAGTTGCACCTAGCTGGATTAGATAAATATTTAGATAGGATTTAGATAAATGTCTAAATTTAATATAGACCTATATATAAGAATATATATAAATTTAGCATATTATTTTGGAAAATATGTTTGCTGTTCAGTGACAGGCATGTGTAATACCTGAAGGATTAGACACAAAGCAAAAGTTGTATTCTTAAGGGTTGGTGGTATTATGGTGATATGGTATAGCACAGTTATTTGAAATCTCAGTGGTGTGGTTTTCAGTACTAAAAAGAGGTTTGTTTTTGCCACAGAGGTGGTGAGCTGAAGTAGCTGTTTGAGGCAATACATTGTCATACATAACTCATGTCATACATAACTCATAACTCATACATAACTCACTAGAGCTGCATTTAAAAAATGAAAAAAGTTCATTAACCTACTTTGCTAGCCTGAGCTTACAATAACTTCATAGAACATGTAAACCCTGTCTTTGCAACAGACATGGTGAAGGTTGTTCTTTCTTTGGCTACGAAACAAACCATCACGTCAATTCATTAATGTGAAGAAGCAGACGAAGGACGTTCTTGTCATGTTATTCTCAACATGCTTTCGACATATCACAAACTTTTGTTTATTGTCAATGTTCACATTTGATTTAACACATAAAACAGCCTTCAATTTCAAGTTCAAGTATACTTTATTTTCATTCTATGCCACACATTTCTGTGTGTACAGTAATTATGTTGCCCAGGTCCACAGTGCAACATTTAAAAATATGCATCAATAAGTACACAGAATTGGGTGGACTAGAGTACCAAAAAAACACAACTCTGACTGTATACAACTATGATTATTGTTATGTGTACAATAACTGTATACATATATATATATATATATATATATATATATATATATATATATATATATATATATATATATATATATATATATACATATACAATTATTGTACACATTTATGCAAGATTACTTCACACAGAACACAGGACAAGACACTATATAGACAAGGAGGTATGATTCAGACAGTATTAAATACAGTACCGAAACACAATGTATTACATGAAGGATGTACCACCGTCCCTGAGTAGAGAGAGTGCAAGTCCATGGATAACATGTCTGTGCAGAGACAGTAAAGTGACTAGTGCCTGTTGTTAGGAAGTGTTAGGAAGGAGACCAGGCAGAAAGGGTCATCTGAGTGTTGAGAATTCTGACAGCTTGGGGGAAGAAGCTATTGTTGAGTCTTGTAGATCTGGTCTGGATGCTGTGATACGTCCTACCAGAGGGCAGGACGGTAAAGAGACTGCAGGAGGGGTGGTGGGGATCGAACGCGATGTTCCTAGCCATGTTGCTGCAGCACCTCAGGTAGATTTCCCGAATCGGAGGTAGGGACACTCCAATGCTGTTCTCCGCTGCCTTCACTATCCGTTGTAGGGATCTGCGGTCTGCGATATTGGAGTTTCCATACCAGACAGTGATGCAGCTGTCTGGTATGGTCTGGACACTCACAATGACACCATGACAGAATGTGGTGAGGATTGAGGGGGGGAGCCTGGCTCCCCTGAGTCGCTGCAGAAGGTAGAGCCGTTATTGCACCTTCTTGACCAGGGATGACGTGTTCAGTGTCCAGGTGAGGTTCCAAGAGATGTGCACTCTGAGGAACTCGAAGCTCTCTACGGCCTGCGCAGCAGTGTTGTTGAAGATCGGGGGGAGTGACGTTCACGAGTCCTCCTGAGGTCCACAATCCTCTCCTTTGGCTTGCCCACGTTGAGGGTTAGGTTGTTATTGTTGCACCAGTCAATTAGCTGGTCCACCTCTGCTCTGTATGCAGAATTATTGTTATCAGAGATGAGGCCCATCACTGTGGTGTTGTCTGCAAACTTGATGATGCAGTTTGAGCTTGGCAGTCCAGTCATGTGTCGTCAAGGTGAACAGAAGTGGGCTGAGTACACAGCCCCTGGGGGGCTCGATGACTGATGTAAGTGCAACAGGTCAGTAGTCGTGTACGCATGTCACAGTGGATTTATTTGGCAGAGGTGTAAAACTTGATATCTTGAAGCACGCGGGCATGACTGTCTGAATCAAGGATATGTTGAAGATGTCAGTGAACATACCTTGACCAGAGTGGGTGCTATAGTGATGAAACCAAAAAATTTAGCTAGGCAATGGCAAGACCAGGATTTGAACCCCTCATCTTAGAGCTCCCAGGCTGACCACATGAGCCCCCCAGCGGCCCAATATTACGTTTATAATTTAATAAGTATCTAAAGTGAATAATGAATTTGCTCTAGAGTTAGTTTTACTTGACCTTATGATTATATCTGTATTCGCATATGGTAAGTCTTGAGGTCTGTGAATTATTGTCCATGGGTTCATAGAGCTTCAAAAAGCACATAATGCCAAAAGTGTTAATTAGTCTATATTTATTTGAGATGTGCAGACTGAGGAAAATGTCGAGACCAAAGCATGGCGATGGTGAGGGAAACATTATTATTTGCCTCTGTTATCCAGAAATAATTGAAATGAGTTGTCCTACTTCATGCAATACAGTAACACAAAAAAACTGTAATATCAAAATCTGATTGATAGAAGTGCACAACGTAATACAGGGCAAAATAAAGAAAGAAATAAAAGTCTTTAATAAAAAATTTGTGTAGAGCGTACTTTAATTAGAAAAGCCTGATTTGTGTGAATCTCCACCCCAAGCATGCAAGTATCCTATGCAAGTGTAAAGGAAGAAAAAATATTTCTTCAACAAGATTTATTCAACAACTTCAACAAGAGTTTATCTTTTTTTTCTCTTTCGCACCACTTGCTTCATCTGAAATCCTGCCCTACTCTGGTGGAGAATGAGGGCACTGGCACAGGTGCATGTTAAAGAAACATAAACCTTTTTTTAAAAAAAAAAAAAAACCTTTTTGTTTTACATTTTCAATGCAGAGCAGCAATTTCGTTCAGGGCAGAGAGCCCTCTTCAGAAAAAAACATTGGTCAGTGGTAGGCCTCCCTGGCAGTGGTGCAACATGTTTCCCACCTTCCAGAACCCTTCACATCATCCCTATATCAACTAAGGACCACCTCACACAAATGGGAGATGATGTGGAGTTGTACCTGTGTACCTTAAAGAGGAAAGCAGATGAGAAGATGTGGGATCACCACCATAAATGCTTAGCTCGCTTGAGTGGGGAGAGGATGTGGACCAGCCTACTCCACTTTACACATAATACAAATAAAATACAAAATCCACTACTTTGGCCAGCTGATAATGCACTTACACCATGCAATATATAAGTATCACAATGCTTTACAAAGTCTCCACATGAAAATTATTGCATCCCCCAGTTACTGGTTAACAATACTGTTCAAGACAACAGCAGATGCTAATATGCTATTTACTACAAAATCGCTAAATTACTGAAAGCCATCAGACAGGCCAGTCCCATAGTTAACCCTACAGAGAGCTGTATCGCTGTAGGGCTGTGTAATGGTCAGGCTCAGTGCCTCAGCTACTTCATTAATGGGCCTGCTCAATCCTCAAGACAAGAAGGTAGCTACAGTGTGTGAATGGCCCCAGCCCACCAGAGCTTGGCTGGATACTTTTGTCACGTCAAGCTTAACAGCCTCAGTCAGATCTCATCTGGAAAGGGACAGCAAGATTTCAATTTCCAGAACCTACCAAGTGCCTCGTGCTTTAAACCGAACTTGCACGCCCCCCATTCAATCTGCATACTGACACATCCTGTAATTCACACACCCACTCTGCACACTGACAAATTTAAGGCTGGGATTGTGATTTTGTGCTACGCTGTCACACAAAATATCCTAAAATGGTCCATTTGTGCGCTTGTTACTACCCCCTTTATATTAACATGTAGGAAAGGTTTATTTAGGTGGAGCTAACCAATGCAAGAGGAGACAGTGCAGTCACTTTAGTTTGGTGTAGGTGGGACTGATAGCTTTTTGTTCTCAAGCAAAACGTAAGGGGTGAGAAGAAGGCACCATCATAGAGGGAGAGAGTAATCTGTCTTTCCTCCTGTTTCTGTGAGAGCAAGTCATTCCTCTGTTTGCTGTGAAAGTTTGGCTTAACAAAGCAGCTGCTGTGGAAACACACACCCACACACAGCTCCACTTATTGCTTCAGTAACATTATTGCTTCGGCACCAGAGAGCACCAGACCTAATAAAAAAGGATAAGAACGGCCTGATTAAATGACAAATCTGCCCTCTGTTTCTGGATAATCTCAAAGCTGGAAACCTATAATGTCTCATGATCAAAGAAAATAACACTTTGGCAAAGACATATGAAGTCAGGTCATAATGACATATATTTCAGAAGCTCCCATTAGATTTCACCAGGCTATTTTTCAACACATCGCCTACAAACTTGGCTCAGTAGGAAGCTTTCTGTTTGTGACATTCTAATTAAAATACATTTTTGGTACCCCTCAGGTTGGTGGTTCAAGCCCCAGTCCAGCCACAGGACACCACCTTCACTCCACATTGTTGCCATGGGGGATTGGCCCTTGGTTACCCTAATCAACTGTAAGCTGCTTTGTATGAAAGATCAGCTAAATGACTGTCATGACTAAATGACTGTAATGTAAACATGAGGATGGATCCAAGACGTTGTATAAAAATACAATTGTATAATATACAATGTGGGGCAGCCTGTAGTCTAGTGGCCAAGATACATGACTGGTACCCCTGAGGTTGGTGGTTCAAGCCCCACTCCAGCTACAACACACACACCATTGCTGTTGGGTCCTTGAGCAAGGCCCCAAACCCCACATTGCTCCTAGGGGCGAGTGGCAGTTGACTAAGTTGATGGTAGCCTAATAAATTGTAAGTTGCTTTGCAAAAAAGCATCCATTAAATGACTGTAATGTAAATTTAACAGAGAGATACAAAAATGAAATTAGCATCAATCCTTCAACAATTCATAATGGGCAAAAAGGCATGATAGCAACAGTTCTGTATGCAGGGTTGCTAACTCTCACACTTCTGGTGTGAAACACATAATTCAGGCTCTCTTTCACAGTCTCACACCAGATGCTCTGTTACTGATATGGAAAACATGCTGAAAAGGTCTTCAGCATCTTGGATTTTCCATCAGCACCATGGAGTGATTTGTGTAAATAACCACAGATTCTTGATTGGACCGCATCAAGGTTCTCCACTAATCAAATTTCAGCTGTCCTCTCACTCACGTTAGTGCTTTATCTGCGTGCGTGTTCTGTCTTAGGGGTGTCAGGAGTCACACTACCACCCCCTGGTGACCCTCCGAGAACAGGTACAGGGATCTACTCACCACAAACAGGTAAGCAGAGTATTAATTTTAAAACAATTTAAAACAGCTCATGCCGGGCAGCCACCCGCTCTGACCCCCTACCCCCTACTCCAACTTCCCCCCTGCCCAACATCAGCCCCACTACCAGCCGGCCCCGTAAAAGAGACTTCCCCTCACCTGCGCCACAACCCAAAACACCAGTAGATAACCCTGTGCCCCACACTCACTCCACACTGTGCTTGGACCCTCTCCCGGACCTGCCCACGTGGCACAGGTCAGCCCTCTCTAGGCCAACTCAGGGGGAATAACCCACACAGGGGGCGGGAGGTCCACACACTCACACACACATAATACACAAAGAGAACACAAAGGGTGGGACGCGGCTCAGCCAGCGCAGTCGAGACGCCAGACCTCCTCCGCATCCCAAAATAACGAACGTCCCATTCTGCAGCTCACCACGGTCAAGGACGAAGCAGGCAAAGGAGGAGAGAAGGCACAACACCGATTACCCCTCTCTGGAATGGACAGGGCAGTCTCACACACACTGAACTTTTATTTTGACATGTCCCTCTAACCACCGGGGCTCCGCCCCCACTCACATCCTGCCCAGTGGGTTCTCAGCTCCACTTAAATCAGAGGGATGAGAGAACCTTCATACACACGGGAATGAAATTCTCATACAGAATCATGAAAGATTAAAGTAAAAGGGTTAAAGTAATACAACACTGATATAATGTGAAGTAGAAAACAAATAATGAAAACAGAATTGTTAATAATTCACACAAGCAGTATCAATTCTCATGGTCTTTCAAATTAAATATTTAATCATCGAGTCTACATGGAGCCTGTAGCCTTGAGCACGTAAATGCCTGAAGAATCAGCACCTGACAGGAAGTAAGAGTGTGATTGGTTCCCTTGGCTGGGGCTCTTCATCTTCAATTGGATAATCACATCTCATAGGGGGAACAGCAGTTCTTCCTGTTAGCATGCTATCTTCAGAGTTAATCAAGAGCATCCTCTTATACAGCACCATGAAGATCTGTCAATAAGATCTGTATTTACCTGATCTGTATCTTTATACATGTATAAAAATGCTATTAGTCATCAAAAATTGTGGAAAAGGATATGACTTGCACTATTGCCCAAGAATACATTGTTTAAAATGGACAAGCTAGCTAGTAAACATGACTTGCATAAGTTGTTTTAGTATCCTGTGGCATTTTAACTTTTTTTATTATTATTAAAAACATAGCTCTCAGCAAGCCTGATGGGGGATATGCTCACAATAACAAGATCAACATCTTTATGAGGATTATATTGTTCAGGGGAGGGAGATTATGATATTTAAAAACTCTCTAAATTTGGCCAGCTAGCCTGTTTTCAGAGGGAGCATGATGTAAGCAGTGTCTGACACCACTACTCACCTCCTTTGAGTGATTGACTTGACTATGATCAGCTAGCTCTTAACCATAATGATACTTTCTAAAATTTTACAGGTACTCTAACCAAGCAGTTTGAGGCTGGGGCGCTGGGGGTAAACAAAACAATAAGGAAAAAAAACAGTTAGGCATAGCAGAATTTCTGAAGAAATGCTGAGCTCACATGAACGGGCATTTAAATAGACAGCTGTATGCACAGTAAGGAGTGTTGTCACATTGTGCGACACCACTGATGGGAGACTGTGCTCCAGAGGACTCAGATGGCTGTCAGCTAATGCAGACTCCAGCCTGAGAGCATTTCACAGCAAATGATCCTGAAATGTCACTGGAGATTAAAGTGGCACAGTCCACAGCTAACAACCATTTGTATTACACTGCTGAATACATATGTTATGCAAATTAATGAATCTGAGCAGTGACCAACCTCATGATATGTGAGTGATGTCTTTAAAGTGACACCTTTGTAACCACATGTACTCACAAATTAAGGTGCTATGTTTAGGGTTAGGGTTTTAGCAACAATAACTGTAGGAATCTAGTGACCTATATCTCACTTTCCACAGCCAATCTACAAAAATATTGTTTTATCATACAAAATGTATAGAATGAGTTATACATTTATAGTATAAATCAATACGTTCATACCCTGCCAATTGAGTACTTACCATTTTGACCTCCTATGAAGGCATCCGATTCGTAAACGCGGACAGAGTACTGCAATCCCACCCCCAGTGGCGCCGTCTACAGCATATGTCAAGTCCATGTCCATTTTTAAATCACAGAATGAAAGAACTGCATTGTGAAGATGTCTTAACATAACTCCCATTTTGTGGAGGGACTACGTTTCTGATCTTTGTGATACTTTTAATCTTCGTGCAGCGCAGATCGAATTTACGATGAGCTCTACCTGGAAAAAATCAGTGAAACAAACTACATTTCTTGCTTTAACCACTGGCACACATCAAGTGCGAGTAATAGATTATGGCATAAAATCTAATATATCATAATGATCAATAATAAATATAATAACTGGCTGGGTGTGTAGTGTGATTATGTGGTAGCCAGTAGCAAAATGCACAACGCTACATGTTGCTGGTGTCATTAGAGAGTTATGAATATAATGAGTAATGCTATGTTGTTATGTTTATGGTTCATGGTTCCGTTGGTTGAGAATTCCCTTGTTGAAAACCAACCCAATCATCTTTTCATATCTGTGAAGAAATCATGGGTGTGGCCTAACAGCTCTGCAGTGATGCGTCCACTTTGCACTCTGTGCCAGGGAAATTCATTTTACTTCAGTCTGTGACATTCTTTTTGATGTATGACTCTGCTTCCACGATTTGAAACAAGAGGTGATAGTTTAATCACTTTCTCCCCTTCAGAACTCTAAATTAAATTCCACCCTTGAACAAACTTAAATTCTGTTCTCTGTAACAGATATTCCAGCTCTTTTTTGTGTCTTTCATGAGGAATATTGGGAGTCAGCCAGTGAAGTCGCATTGCTCATAACTTCAACTCATGTACAGTTTTATCTCTCCAGCCTCCGTAATAAAATCATATCTACTGATCCCAGGACAGTTATATCAGTGCCAGTGGAATAAAGGACCCTTCACTAGCATACCAACACAACTTTCACTGTTTATTTTTCTGCTACAATATGTACACATTCTCTTGTTATTATTTATTACACCTCCAAGTGTACTGGTCCATAAATGGCAATGCAAGCACATCAAAAAGTAATTTGGTTTATTTAATGACCATGTCTGGCTGCAATTTGCAGGAGTTCTGCAATGTTGAAACCTTAAAATGACTGTAAGCCATTCTGCATTGGTCTTTATATGGAGAGAAGTGAGAGTTTAGCACATCCTCTTCTTACTAACTTGTAGTTCCAAACTCAGGTGTTAAACAGCAGAGTAAGAGCACTCCCAGGATGCAGGGCCAAAAGGGGCCATTTAACACTGCGGAAACTGTCATTGCTGTGGTATAATGCTTTGAAAATGCTCCCTGCCATGCCTGTTATGGCTCCCCCCATTAATATTGGCAAAATATAGCACCTTCCAGGATTAAATAAAGATCAAAGCTACTTCAGTTCTATGAACTTGAAGTTCAATGAAATAAGAACCATATGAATAACCTAACATAACAATGCATATTTTCTTCAAGCTGTATGTCAATTATCGGTGGTATTATGGTGTTACAACATATCATGAATTATATATTAAATTTTATTTTGAAATATTAGGGGTGCTGTTTTATATAATGTCCTAAAAAGTGGCCTAGCTCATTTTTGCTATGAAACCGCCATACATAAGTTGCTGTTTGAGGTAGCTCATGACTTGCACTACTAGAGATACTAGAGAAAGAAGTTTACTAAGCTATCTTGCTAGCCTGAGTTTCCAAAAAAAAATCATTGTATTAATTAAAACCAAGTTATTGTAGTTCATAATTTCAATTGATATAAACCATCACTGTAATTCATCAAACCTATGATTACATGACCTTTGCTTTCCACTGTTAATAAAATTTAAGTACAAGGGGCATAACAACTTTTGCAAGTTATCGTGTATGTGCATGCCATTAGGAACTGTTTTTGAAACTCTGTCCGCGGACGTGCCCCCGCTTTTGGAAACACTGTGTTAATGTGTGGCTTGTGATGACAGACTATGAGGGTGTGATTCCGCCTTTCACGCTGCAGTAGGCCGCATAAGGGGGTCATTCACGGTTCAAAGCAGCTGCCTCCCAACTCACCAGTTACTTACTGCTGTGTACAATCAAAGTCATCATGAGAACAGAGAAAAAAAACATTCATTCACAGTTTTGATTCTCCCTTTTCCCCTGTAAAGAGGGATAACTCTGACCATCTCACCTGCAGTTGTAGCAGAAGGGGATGGGTTGAACCTCTTCTATCTGGAATGTAGTTCAGCCATCATCTCCCCCACAGGAAAAGGAGGAAACCCCCTCTGCCTCTCTAAGGGAACCCAGAACCACTTGTGTACGGCACCAGAGCTGACCA